GGGTTTCCTCCCAGGTTTGTCATCATCTTCTTTGAGAATTTTGTGGGTACGGGAAAAAGGATATTTATCTTTCAAATCTGGAGTAGACCACCCTATTGCAGTCTCATGTTCCTTCAGTACTTCAATCACTGCCTCCTTATTACCCAAGAAGGTATGTTTCAGAGTTTCAGGAAGCTCTTTCAACTTTACTTTTGGGGCACCATCTTCTTTATCATCATTTGTTTTCTCAATAACTTCAAACACTACATTCTTTTTTTCCTTAGCAGGAACAATCTTATGTGCCTCAAGTTCTTCATCAAGCTCTTGAGTAAAATATTTTTCTTCCTTCCCCACTTGCTCAAGTATAAAACAATCGCCTTTGCCAGAAGATTGTTTCATAGAGTCAAAGACATTGATAGTAATGGACTCATCATTCATCCTTAACTCTAGCTTCCCATTCTCCACGACAATCATGGCCCGAGCAGTGGCCAAGAAAGGTCTACCTAATAAAAGAGGCATTTCAGTTCCCCCTTCCATGTCCAACACTACAAAATCTGCTGGAAAGATGAATTTGTCCACTTTCACAAGGACATCCTCAATTATACCACTAGGTTTCCTTAAAGATTTGTCAGCAAGTAGCAAGGAAAACACAGTAGGTTTGAGCTCAGATATCCCCAAAGATTTATACACGGACAAGGGCATCAGATTTATACTTACCCCAAGATCACACAAAGCTCTGCCAACATTTGTGTTTCCAATAGTAATAGGAATAATAAAACTCCCTGGATCATGACGCTCAGGAGGAAACTTCTTCGTAATGATAGCGCTACACTCCTCAGTGAGTGTCACCATTTGGCATTCCTGCAGCTTGTGTTTTCTTGACAACAGGTCTTTCATAAACTTGGCATAATTGGGCATATTAGCCAAGGCTTCAGCAAATGGAAGATTGATATGAAGCTTTTTGAATATATCAAGGAACCTGGCATATTGTTCCTTCTGGGCATCCTGCTTGAATCTGTCAGGATAAGGTGCCATGGCTCTTACATAATCAGGATTCAATTCAAATTTCTTTTTTTCAACAACAATCAGTCGCTCTTCTTTTTCACCTTTCTGCAAAGGCTTCACAACTTTAGCAGGTTTTTCAATTTCTTTTCAGGTTTACCTGTAGTATCCAGCTTCTCTTCAATCTCAGGAGATGGCAATACTTTTCCACTTCTGGTTGTGATGGCCATACAATCTTCCCTCGGATTAGCAAGTTATTTAGCCAGCTGGCCAATTTGATTTACCAAATTTCTGATAGAGGCTTGTGTATTTCTGGTATTTTCCCGAGTCTCTTCCATGAAAGCATTAGAATGTTGGGCCATTTGTCCCACTAGCTTCTCTAAATCAGAAGGTTCCTTCGGTTGAACTGGTGGTGGTTGCAGATAATTATTGGACTTGAAGTCAAGACCAGTACCATGCACCTTCCTCTAGAAGTTATTGTTTCCAAAAGGAAAAATCTGATTTCTTGGAACATTTTATGGTGGGGGTCTCTGATTATACCACACGCCATTTACATGCACCTGTTGAGGGGGATCATCAGATAGCAAGGTAGGACATTCATTAGATTCATGACCTTCCTTGTAATATTCACAAATAACTAAAGCAACTTGAGCTTGGACGCTAGAGAGCTGCATTTTATGAAGCCTTGATGTCAAATTCGCCATCTGCTGTGATAATAATTTATTTTCAGCCAATGTTGCATCATTGTTGTCTAGGTGAAGAATGCCTCTCTTAGGCTTAGATGATAACCCTTCATTTTCATTGGCAGCCATTCTTTCAATCAATTCAAGAGTCTCATTTTCTCTCATTGACTTAATGCTACCACCTGCTGCACCATTGAGAACCATCCGGATTTCCGGTTTACAATCGTTGAAGAAGATCTGGACCTGATCACCATTGGTCATGGGGTAATGAGGACACCTCCTCATTAATCTTTGAACCGGTTCCAGGCTGCACACATAGTTTCACCCTCAGCTTGAGTGAAATTGGTGATATCATTCACCATTTGATTGTATCTTTCCATCGAGAAGAACTCTGCAAAGAACTTGTTTGATAAATTCCCCCATGAGGCAATACTTCTCGCAGGCTGCCTCTCCAACCAATTCAAAGTTTTTCCTTTAAGAGCAAGAGGAAACAGTCTCAGCCGGACTGCATCATTGGACACTTGAGGATGTTTAGTCGAGTCACAGATCATCAGGAATCTGTTTATGAACCTATGAGGGTCTGCATCATCCTCTCCACCAAACTGAGCTCTCTCCACCAATCGAATATTATCAGACTTGAGCTCCCAATTATTGTTGCCAACTTCAGGATGGACAATACTTGAATTGGGCCTGTTAAATAGTGGCGTCAGAATGGTGTCCATGAGTGGATTGTCTTCTTCATTGTTCCCTGCCATGGTGTGTGTTTCTTCTGACAGAATTTCTGACTCGTCGAATTCAAGTTTCTTCCGAGCAAATTTCCTGTTTCTCTTTTCAGTTTTTGTAATCTCCAAATCAAGTGGAAATTCTGGCTTTTTACATCGCATACAACTCAAAAAAGAGATTAGTAGCACTGTTCAAATATCACACAGAGAAATCAAAATTAAAAATAAAATAAAAAAATCCAATCTTAAAAATCAAAATCAATTGATAAAAGATATGCCAATTCCCGGCAACGGCGCCAAAAACTTGATGCTCACCGGCAAGTATACTGATTGCACAAGTAATATAATGATAAGAAAAGTATCGTCTCCACAGGGATTGGGATCGAATATCAATTAATAGTCCTTTCAAGAATGGATGAGTTCAAATGATTTGTGACAAATATTGTCGATTTGTGTAAAAGTGAGAACTAAAAATAAAGACTTGTTTTTGTAATTTTGTTTATGAGAAATAGAACAATAAACTGAGAATTGATTTTTCTCAAATGTGAGAAAAGCATTGTAGAGCGCACTCACCTTATGATCCCCACTTCTTACTTTGGATTGATTGACAACGTTCATTCAATTTAATAACTCAGACAAATTATCATCTAAAATAATTAGTTAAATCCCAATCCCTTGGCAATCTAACCCTTTAATTCAATTGGAATCCTAATCCCTTAGCAACCCCGCATGAAATTAAGCATTAATCACAAAAAATCAAACGACTGCAACTCACACAAGTCTATCCCTAGAGTATGCATAAGTTGTTACCTTACCCCCTTTCAGAATCAAAACCCCAATATTCCTATTGCGAGCCCTAATTCCCAAATTATTATCTCCTATTAGGTTGATAAAGTCTAACAGAAATAATATCAATACGCACAGGGTAAAAATAAAATATATTTTACGGGCGAAAATAATCAATCCAGCGTAAGAAGGATTCACATAGGGTTTGTGACCCTAACTACAATAAAAGAGATTAGCCAGCCATAGACATAGCTGACATACAATTATAAAATAGAATTGATAATAAAATTACTAGGAGAAACGAAGAACGATCCTCTGCTCTTCTCCTCCCTCACGAATCCTTGTTCTGCTCCGTCGTAAAAAATTCTCCCTCCAAGAACCCTCGCAGCGTCCTTTTAAGTTCGAAATTGCCTCCACGCTGAAGTCCGCGCGGGTAGCGCCATTCTGGTGCGGGTCTAGCGCCACTTTTTTTGCACTGGGTCGATTTTCGCGAGGGTAGCGCCATTCTGGCGTGGGTCTCGCGCCAAATCCCTGGTCTCTGTATTTTTCTGGCGCTGCAAAAGCGCAAAGTGGTGCGGGTAGCGCCATTTTCCTTTTTCAATTTTTCTCAATTTTCCTATTTCTTCTTGCTTTAACCTGTAAAAATGATATAAAATATGAAAAATAAACTGAAATAGGAAAACTAACTAATAAAAGTAATTAATATACAGAAAATGCTCTTTTATGACTGATTTCTTATTATTTTTGGCTTGGAAAAAATCGCATGCCAGAGGCACATCACATAATCACTAGCATGACACATTAATTCAAAAGGTAAAGTGAAATCAGGTGCAGTGATTATAGGTGCAGTGGTCAAGCGATCTTTTAAAATATTAAATGCTAACAAACATTCATCTGTGAAGTTGAATTCCTCATCCCTGACCAACAGCTTGCATAGTGGTTTTGCTATCTTAGAAAAGTCCTTTATAAAGCGCTTGTAGAAACTTGCTTGACCGAGAAAACTTCGAATACTTTTAACATTAGAGGGAGGGGGAAGTTTCTCAATAACAAATATTTTAGCTCTATCAACTTCTATACCATCTTTAGACACTTTGTGTCCTAAAACAATGCCATCTTTTACCATGAAGTGGCATTTTTCCCAGTTCAAAACAAGATTACTCTCCTGACATCTTTGTAAAACATATGACAGATTTTTTAAACAAGTGTCAAAAGAGGGACCAAAAACAGAAAAATCATCCATGAAGATCTCAATGGATTTTTCAATCATATCAGAAAATATAGAAATCATACACCTTTGAAAAGTTGTCAGAGCGTTGCATAGGCCGAAGGGCATCCTCTGGTAAGCAAAGACTCCGTAATGGCATGTGAATATTGTCTTTTCTTCGTCTTCTGGCGCTACTGCTATTTGGTTGTAACCCGAATACCCATCCAAGAAGTAGTAGAAGGCATGGCCAACTAGTCTCTTCAACATCTGGTCCAAGAAAGGAATCGAAAATTGGTCTTTCCGAGTTGCTGCATTAAGTGTTTTATAGTCAACATACATCCTCCATCAGGTGATTGTCCTTGTTGGAATCAACTCGTTGTTCTCATTTCTTACCACAGTGACTCCACCTTTCTTTGGTACAGTTTGTAATGGACTTACCCATGCACTATCAAATATAGGATAGATCATTCCTGCATCCAACAGTTTAACTACCTCTTTCCTTACCACCTATTTCATGGTTGGATTAAGTCTCCTTTGTGGCTGCCTCACAGGTTTAACATCATCTTCCATTAGAATTTTATGAGTACAAAAGGAAGGATTTATACCTTTTAAGTCGGAGAAGGATCATCCTATGGCAGCTTTGTGTTTCTTTAGCACCTTGAGAAGTTTTTCTTCTTCCATGGTTGACAGCTCAATATTGATGATGACTGTATAAGTGTTGTTGTCACCAAGGAAAGCATACTTCAGATTTGGAGGAAACTCCTTAAGCTCCACCTTTGGTGCTGCAAGAGGGATGTCATCTTTCTTTATTTCTAGTTCTTCCACCACTGGTTCTTTATCAGCAAGTTCAGCTTCTTCGTTGATTTGTTCTAACTCTAGTGGAGAACTCTCCTCTTTCATCGCGTCATCAACTACTTCTTGTATTATGTCAACCATGAAGCAATCTCCTCCATCTGACGGATGTTTCATTGACTCGAAGACGTCAATGGTGACTGTCTCTTCGTTCATCCTCAACATCAATTTTCCTCGCTCCACATCGATCATTACTCTTGCAGTGGCTAGAAATGGCCTCCCAAGCAGTAGGGGAATCTCGGCATCCTCTTCTATATTCAGAATTAAAAAATCTGCAGGGAAGATAAATTTGTCAATTTTAACTAAAACATCCTCAATTACCTCATCTGGTCGTCTGATCGATCTGTCAGCTAACTGGAGAGAAACCGTAGTCGGCTTTAGCTCTTTGATTCCAAGAGCTTTGCACATGGAAAGCGGCATCAGAATTATACTTGCTCCCAAATCACATAATGCTTTTCCTACTTTAATATTTCCTATGGCAATATGAATACTAAAGCTGCCTGGATCTTTCAACTTGGAAGGAAGTTTCTTCTGGATGATTGCACTGCATTCCTCTGTCAGGGCCACTGTTTCGCACTCCTTCAGCTTGCGCTTCTTTGGCAGAAGGTCTTTCATGAATTTTGCACAGTTCGACATGCTTTCCAAGGCTTCTACGAAAGGAATGTTAACTTGCAGCTTCTTGAAGATGCCCAGAAATTTGGTGTATTGTTGTTTCTGGATCTCTTGTTTCAACCGCTGAGGATATGGAACTCGTGCATAGGGAGACGGGTCTGCCGGTTTTGGTTGCCGGTCCAGAGCTTTCTTTTTCTCCCATTTGAACATCTTCTTTTCTGGACTGCTCTTTTCAGCTTCTCCTTCATCTTCTTCTTTCTCCTTCTCAGCTTCAGGTTCATCTTATTTCTTCTTCTCCACTAGTGGCTTTTCCATAGGTTGGATCACGATCCCGCTTCGAGTAACAATAGAATTACATTGCGCATTTGGGTTTGTGTCTGTGTTACTTGGGAAGGTGCCCTGAGTTTTTTCAGTGAACTATCTTGACAGCTGGCCAATTTGAGTCTCCAGGTTTCGGATAGAAGCTTCTTGATTCTAGAATGAAGCTCTTGTTTCATCTCTGAAAGCATTTGTATTCTGAATATAATCTGAGGTGGTCTTGGATAGCTGTGCAAAAGCTTTCTCCCACTCTGAAGTGTTGCCTTGAGGTGGGGGCTGATGTTGCAGTGGCAAAGGAGGATTCAGTTGATGATTTGTTTTGTAACTTAACTCGGGGTGTTGATTTTGATTTTTCCACCCTTGATAATAGTTATTACCATATTGATTCCTTCCCGGATTATTCTGGGTCTTTTGATCGTACCAGATTCCGTTGACTTCAACCTTTTCAATTGTTCTCATATAGTCGCAATCTTCAGTTGCATGATCATCTGCACAAATGCCACAAATTATTTGAGTACTATTAACAGAAGAAACTTGAGAAGTAGCAAATTGCTTTGTAAGAGCATTTAATTGTGCTTGTTGTTTCTTGTGAAATTGCAGCATCTGTTCGTTTTGGGCTAAGATTGCATCATAGCCGCCGAGCTTCATAATTTCTGCTCTTCTTTGCGCGATTAGGGCATTGTCAAACTCTTGTGAAGCTAAGGATTCCAACAATTCTAGCGCTTCCTCTGGAGTTTTTGTTTTCAAGGAGCCTCCTACTGCAGCATTCACCAATGTTCTTGTGCTTGGCATCATCCCTTAGAAGAAGATTCTTCCTTTCTCCCACGCTTCAATGCCATGTTGAGGACACTTTCAGAGTAGTCCTTTAAATCTTTCCCAAGCCTCATACAGAGATTCGCTTTCTTTTTGTTCAAAAGCAGTGATCTCCACTTTGAGTCGTGCCATTCTTGAAGCGGAAAAAAATCTGGCCAAGAATTTCCCTGCTAAGTCATCCCAACTGGTTATGCTTCCTTCAGGTAGTGACTGCAGCCAAGCTCTTGCGTCATCTTTTAGTGAACATGGCAAAATGGCGTCACGAGAGACTCTATTGATCTTTAATGTATCACAGTAAAGTAGAAAATCATCGAGATGACTGTAAGGGTCCTCTGTGCTTCCTCCAGCGAACTGATCTTTTTGAATCAATTGTAACAATGTTGGCTTGTGTTCAAAGTTGTTAGAATCCACGGTTGGTCTAACAATGCTTGCCGTCTGCGGAACTCGAGCTGGGGTTATGTAATCTCCCAACGTCCGTGGAAGGTGATGGGACGAAAATTTGTTCCCATCTAAGCCCATTTTGATGGCAAAATACCATCTGTTCCCTCATCTGATGAGCAACTTTAGCACTAAAAACACATGTTTAATATCTTTATGACAAAAACACAGTAAGGAACGGATGATGACGTAATCCTTTGGAAAATATATTAAAAGGGAAACGAATTGGGACCATTAAATACACATGCTTCACTCACTCAATCTCTCTAACCACTTTTCAGGAAACGTTGAAAAGAAGTTTCCATAAAGCATAAGCGGAGCAGCAATCAAGCAAGAGGAAACGTGCGCAGCAGGGAATAAACGGTTCCTATTGGCTAAAGAGGAAAGCAAGGCATGAGGATGATCAGAAGGAAAGACAAATCTCAACAGTAAATGTCCCATCCAGCCACTGTTCGCACCGCCTCTTTCATCCAGTCAAGAAAACAACTCCAAGGGAATTACTCACTTTGCCATTCACTCTTCTGCCTATAAATAGGGCATTCCAGCACGAAGAACGTCATCGAATTCCTTAAGAAGAGATCACTTAGTTTATTTTGTATTTTTCTAGCTGTAGTTAAGTGACAACACTTCTTCTCTATTCTGTATCACCCACTTGAGACTCCTCACGAGCAACAACCATCTTCTCCACTTTTTATTTTATTGTAACCTAAGTTTTTTCCATTTAAATATAAGTATTATTTCTCTCTTTTCCACTCGTTATCTCTGAACTGAATCTCGGGTCTATGGGACTTCAGTTTGGAATAATTATGTTTAAAGTAGTAGCCATAGGCTAAACTATCTGTGGAACGGAAAAACTGCAAAGTTCTTAAAGAATTATTTTCAAAAAATTTGTACTGAGCTTTTGTATTTCTCTGATTAAGTAAGCTATATTCATTGTGTATCAGTGGAAATTGAACACATACTGAGAAAGGAACTTCCATAAGGAAGGGATTTCAGACAGCTTAACCAGAGGAGGAAGCCACAACACTGCTGGTTGCCTTAGAAATAAGGGACCACCTCGTTCTTTTGAAGGTCCTGTGCTAAGTAACTGTTGGAGTCAAGGGAGCCATAGAAATATGGAAACTTTTGAGCCATTTAGTCCATGAGCTGAGGAATCAGAGGTTGGCAGTGAAGAGACTGGAACAAAGACAAAAGTGTTAAGTCTTGAGTAGAGAAAATAGCTATTTAAGAATGAAGCAGTGGATCCGTTTTTTCTATTAAAACTGTTTTAAACCATCCACCTAGTTGTCTCTTAATTACTGTTATTACTATTTGTATTTTTTTCTTTCTTTATTCAATCTTGTATCTATAAATCTCTCAATGAATATTGATGTTCTTTTTCTCAACAAGAAGGGTATCATACATAACGAAGCGATGAAAGATTGAACCTACTGTTCTTGAGGAATGTTGTCAAGATAGTAGGGAACGTTTGAGCAAATAGGTCAATTACTAACTTTTCTTTTCATTTTCATTCTTTAAAAAATAGTTTAAGGCATTACTTAGAGTTCTATCTTCGTGGGAACGATAATCTGGGAACTAATAGTCCCTTTATTACTTGATGCGTGCACTTGCGTTGAAAGTAAGAGGACACAAGTGTTTTCTCTTACTGAACTATAACGTTCTTCATCACAATATATTTTTCACCCAACAAGCTTTTGACCCAACATAGGGTTCTTAAGTTCGTTATTGTCAGCCATTGGTTCTTCCTTTGGTTCCGTCGAAGCTGAGGCTTCCTTTGCTTCTTTTGCTTTTCTTTCTTTTACGCCTTTCCTAAGTTTTCTTTCTGTCTTTTCTATCTCATGATCAAATTGCAAGATTTGTGAGTTCAGAGTACCTTGCATAAACTAAGATTGAAAGGCGGGCTTACAACGGGCTTCTCAGGAGATGGACTACCAGCGGGCTTCTCAGGAGATAAAATCAACCTCTTTCCACATAATTCAATCATTGTGTGAGTGTTAGGATGTCTTGTGAGTTTTAGGATGTCATGTGAGTTACTCTTAGAACCTAACATGTGGTGCATGTGTGACCGCCGAGCGTCGGCATGATCTATTCATGTCTTTGTGTAACATGTGCAAAGTTATTGTTAACCTTTGGAGTTCGCGAGAGACAACAAATGGGCATTCAGATCCCATTGTAGCTTCATTGGCCTCAATGCAGGCTCCTATGTAAGCTGAGTTAGATGCAATTAGATAGGCTAATCAGGTTATGATGGACACCATGCGAGAGATAAATCGGAAAGCGACTGAGGATGTATTAGAGGCGAATCAAATGGCGAATATAACCATGATTCAAGTCATATTGGAGGAGATGAGGATTGGTTGTAATGATGGCTAGCATCCGCTGCCGCCACTGCCTTCATTCCATCACCAGGAAGGGAATAGAAATGGAGGGACATACGTTTAGGAGGACATCAGACAGAGCAATGTGGAGAGCATGAGTCATCTTTTCAATATGATCCAACCATACTACGAGCCCATTGACAACCAGGAGACAAGATAACGCAGGTTGAATGCTTTCCGTAAGCATAATCCATCTTCATTAGATGGAGTTTATAATCCTATCATTGTAGTCAGATGGCTTCAAGTGCTTGATAAGATTTTCAGAGTAATGAAGTGTACAGATCCGCAGAAGTTGTTGTTTGCCACCTACATGCTTGAAGGTGATGCATATGAGTGGTGACGAACACCTCTCAGGGTTATGAGATGTATGGTCAGATTGTGACTTTCCATTCTTTGAGGAGCTATTCTTGGGGAAATATTTCTCGTATAATGCGAGAGAGCGTGAGCTGGGAGAGTTTGAACGCCTAGTGCAGGGCTCTATGACTGTGGATAAGTACTTGGCTAAATTCAATGAGTCAGCCAAATTTTCTAATTTCAAATTAGCAATTCCTACACCAGAGTTCCTAACTTCTAAGTTCCATAGAGGCCTACATGAGGAGATAGATTAAAGGATTGCCGAAGCTGCATCCAGAGACTTTGGCACTTTGATCTAATAGTATCGTGACATAGAGGACGTTTGTGTAATCAACAAGGAAAAGAGAATTAAAGAGTCTGAGGCAAATAGAGTTAGTGGTTCCTCTCAAGGGAGGGACAAGAGGTATGATGGCAAAGGTAAAGGGAAGCAGCTACATGTCATATAGTAGCTCGATAAGTTCAAGAGAATTTTTGCTCAGCAGGGGAGCTTGGTGAGACCACCCACCATTCCTAGATGCACCAGTTGTGGGAGATTACACATTAGACCTTGTTCCACCAGTTAGATCATTTGCTTCAAGTGTGGCAAGGAGGGCCACTATTCTAGAGACTGTCACCCACCTGTTGCTAGAGTCGCAGTTGTCCAAGTCGTTCCACTTCAGATAGTTCCTGCACCACAAGTGACCGACTGAGTATACACTTGTGAGTTGGGACCGTCAGCAATCCGATAGAGCTCTGAACCTCGTGAGTGATATAGTTTACATTGGTGGATATGACACTAATGTGTTCTTTGACTCTAGGATTGCGCTATCATATGTTGCGAGTCTGATTTTTGTGTGGCTAAACTTGCCCATATTTGAGCTTTCTCCATCTCTGAGGGTTAATATAAAACCTCGTATTTCTTAAACATATATTTTTATATTAAATGTGGATTAAAGGGTAGGATTAGTGAAAATCCTAAAATCAGGGTTAAAATACAAAGAAAGGGTAAAACGGTAATTAGCTAAATACTTAACCCTAAAAAAGTAAAATTGAGTAGGAGGTCTCAAATTGGAAAATTAACCATGGAAATGGATTCATAACAAAAAATTGAGTGGTTACGCAAGTTTCTAAAAATTTGGTGAATACTGTTTTTATCGGGTAAAAATATCGCGGTACAGTTGCACCGTAAAGCATGCTGAATGAATTTTGAGCTCTAGGTTTGGATATAAGTTATAAATGGTACGTAGGATTAGGAAATATGATTTCTGGTGAAAATTGTTGGAAATTAGAGTTTCTAAATAGTTTAGGAAATTATGGACGTTTAGCGCAGTAGGCGGGAGATTTGAATTAGTTTGAAATCGCGTGAGGTGGCGGTGGGGCCCACCTCACTTAAGTGGACTTGGCCACCATGGACAACATAAAAATCTGGTCCTTCTTTCTCCTCCCCCCACACAACCTGCGGCCTCCATTGAAGGGAAGGAAGCTTGGCTTCAAAAATTTTAAACCACCAAAACTCATCCAAAACCTAATCAAATCCAAAAGTGTAAAACATGAAAGTTGTTCCAAATCACCTTGCGAACATCTTTCCTTCCTTGAGTGAGGCACGAAATTGAGTGAGCAAGGAGATCATTTTCCTATTGAGGGTGGCGGTTTTGTGGATTTTGGCGGTGGTTGGTATAATAACCCTAATTACATGATTTTTAAATTAGAGGGTTATGATGAGGAGCTTATGGTCATAAATAGAATGAGAATGAAATTCTAGGAATTTGGATACCCATATTGAGGGTATTCCAGTCAGGTGAATTTTCATCTGCTGTTTTTGACTGCTGATGCAGTAATAGACTGTAGAATAGCTCCAGTACATTGAATTTAAGTTAGAGAGCTATCCTAATGATATAAATATCATAAATGATGTAAGCTTAAGATTTGATGAAGTTTGATACCCATATTGGGGGTATTCTGAACAGTTGAGTTTTC